GGGACTTAGTTCCCGTACCTACGTACCCAGGAACTTTGGGGCTGGGAATCCAGGTGATAAGACTTTCTTTCCCAAGCTCTTAAATTAGTCCCTTCGAAGCTACGAACCTCTTGGTTGATTATGAGGCTTCCCCCGTTGCTACAATTTATTAAGCAACTGATCGAGGTGAAAGCATTGGGTGCTCGATAGAGTAAGGGGCGTAGCGTGAGACTGATTAAAAAAAAAGAAGAAAGTTAGTCAGCTCTTTCAAAGGACTTCTCGACTCGCCCGTTCTTCGCTTTAGCTTTCGGGGTCTAATGCATACCTCGAACTTATTAGCCTAACTAAAGGAAAAGTCACGATGCCATATTACAAAGTCAGGATCTTCTTAAAGCGAAAGGACTGAGCCCAGGAAACTCCTAGCTCAACTAGCGCTTCGCACATTGTTAAATAAGACTCTTGTTCCGCTACGAACCAACAATATCATAGATAGGGCTTCCGTAGCTGCTACAGCTGGTCTTGGAGAAAGGATAATCTAAGTTCTTTAGCCGGCAGTAGGAGGTCTAAAGAATACATCAGTATCCACTTCAGACTAAGCCAATCTCCGCTCTCAAAACCTTAGGGATTCATCTTTCTTCCGTGGGTGACTCCTTCCCAGGAACTGCTATTCCATAACCTGATTCTTAAGAATTAGTGTACAAGAGTACTTCCCCTTAAGGTTAGGTTCTACGTACCTAAATAGTCTTATTAAATAGGTTCCGCCCCCTCCACCCCCACATTCACTGTCTCCTGTCACCGCAAATTTAAGTTTAGCTTCGTAGCTAGTGCAAATCTCCCTTCTTTCTTATAGAGCCCCCGGGGCGTTTATGAATACCTTTAGTCTCTGTCTCTTTAGTCTCCTAGGCCTACCTAACCTACTGAATAGGTTACTAATCCCTTCTAAGCTGTACCGGCCAAAGCCTCAGTAGCAGGACCAGCTCCAATCAATGATTTGAATCCACCCATCAAAACCCCCAGGTATAACCCCTATTCTTCTTTTGTTTAGCTACGCACCTTACTCCCGCGGCGCCCTATCGTCCTTTCTTTGAACCTAGCGATTACTCTCTTTTACGAGAGAAGATTTTCTTCTGTGAATATCGACCCTTCCTTCCCTTTTTAAGCCTCCTCGGGAAAGGTTCTACGAGTCCTAGTAATTCAAAGGTTTGCTCGCTAGCGGTGTGTTTAATTGGCTACGCGGTGTGCCTAAGCGTACCAACCCCGGGGCGGGATTCACTTATTTTACACAAAGAAGAAATTCTGATTTTAATCGAAAGTCTTATGCCCGGGATTGTATACTCTATTATAATACCTGCTCATGGGAATCCTATTCCAAGAGGTTAGAAATATAACTGTTCGTAGCGAACGAACTATTTAATGTACTCCGCGGCGGGAACATAGCGCTCACATCCTTTCTTTCGGATTCCGGGTGTAGACGAGACAGCTACTTGCTTATGGGAAAATAAGGATCGACAGATTTCACTTTTATATTAATTAAAGGCGGGCACGAGCGGCGTAGAGGTTAAATATATCTATTGCGGGGGTTCCGCGGGGTGCATAGTACTTTTGTTGAAACCTCCAGGTTAGGTGCGTCAGCCTATAACACTCTATTTAATAAGTCTAGGAGAATATCAAGCTAGCTACCTTAGGTTTAGCAGTCTCTGCTGGGATAGCTTTAGCGGGTAGACTAAGACAATCATCTGGCTAATAATCAATAGATACTATCTGGCGAATCATCTTCCTCTTCCGGAGCTGATAGCTCCTTCTTTAGAAGAGGTTGTTCCGCCCACCTTTTGTTCTAGCTTTCCTGGCTATAAAGTTCTCTTACACTACAGAAAGGCATAGTTGTACTCTATCTTCCCCGGGGCAGGATCCACCGGAGAGAGTTACCTCCCCTACCCGGCCACAAACCTTCTCTTCTTGGGTTTTTTCCTTGCAAAACCCCGTCCAAACAGAGAGAGATTGGATGAACGTATTCTTAAAAGAAAGAAATTCCCAGGGTAGCAAGAACTAGTCGGGAGCCTGATCCTTAGGTCAGATTCTTTCTTCGGAGCACAAAGAGGGGGACCCTACTTTAAGCATCTCTCCTATCCTAATCATCTTGTACTTACTGAGTTCAAGCACTCCCACCTAGTAAAGGTTAGCTGGTCTAAGACTGAGACTTTTTACTTAAAAAGGGGCGGATAAAACTTTGACAATTTCGAAGTCCCTGACGGAAGGAAATCTATCACATGACTTTTTCCCCGAGGGAGATTGAAACTTTTTTGATTGATCAGTCCCGCCACCGAGGGGAAAAGTTGTTGATGCGAAAAACACCGCACTTCAAAAGCTAATTGTTTAAGTTATTATCGCTAGGATCATCGTTATAGCTATTTCCATGTGAAACTCTTACTGGTCCTCTTGCTTCAACTGGGGAAACTAATCGTATAGTATTCTCTCCCAGGGAGAAGCTAAAGTCCAAAACGATTCCTCTCTTTGTCAAGAAGAGTAATAAAATCCCTAGCCATTGCTTTCACTGTCTTACTCGCTGGCAACTGCCACTGCAACCAGAGGGGCTTCAGGGATTACCTCAGCTCAGTGGAAAGCGAAGGAAGGGTAGGGCTTAAAGCTGCTCGTTCCTCGAGGGTTCGGGTCAGGAGCGGTATAAGAGGTCTAGGCGCTCTTAAAGATGTCAGTCTTTTTTCTGTTGATGCGGATTACCTTCATTCCTATCCAGAAATGATGTTTTGCACGAGACAAACCCAAGCACGAACACAGAGGAAAGAGCGGACTCGAAACCAAGAAGGCATCCGGATGTGAAAGCAGAACTAGCGCTTGAGGAAAAGTCAGAGACGAGGGAAAGATTTAATCACCCGGTCTTCTCCTTCCTAGCTTTGAGATAGCCTAATGAGGGCTTGACTAGGGATCCACATCCTAATAGGGAAAAGTCAGGGTAAAAAACGGAGTTCAGAGTCGATGTGACAATAGGAGGAATTTCAACAACGTATTTCTACTGAAGAAGTTGCGATTCCCTGCATTAAACCTCCGAAGAGTGGCCTTCCATTATCTCTTTCAGGCTTTTCTGTGGGAAGACTTGAAGCCGTTGGCATTCCCCTATGCAGAGACAGTTTCCGCAATAGCTAGATTCTCAAGCTCTGATTCAGATTCTATATCTATCCTCCACCCTGGAGAAAGGGCTTGGTGTAGAGATTGTTAGAATTAGAAAGAGATAGGAGTCGGAAAGGTGTGATCGAGGACAGGGCATAACCCAGAGTTCTTACTTAACAAACACCAATCCAAGTGGAAGCATCTCTATATTTCTTTTATTACGAAAAAACTCCCTTAACTTAAAGAGGCTCGCATGCTGCTAGAGGTTTGATTCCCCTTCAGTGGAATCAACTTATTCGCCTCTTAGCTTACTAGCGCATTTCAAAAAGAAAACAGAGGGAAGGAAGTGAACAAGGGAATCCAACTTAGGACTCGATTCCTTACCCTGGTTTGATGTCGCAGCACTTCCTCTCCCTATCGGCTTTAGTAGCAGCCCTTCGGACTAGTAAGGTGCCAGTTAGTGCTTCGCTTTGAAATCGCCTTCCTTCTTCCTTAGTCTGTAAAGGATTGCTAATACACTCTCTCTCCCGTACTGAAGGGACTCTGGGTTACCAATGCTTCTAGCTATTTCGAATCTAGCTTGAGAAAAGAGAGCTTCAACCCCCGAGTCTCTAAGACAGATTAATTCGAGTTTATTCAATCAATTCCGGCTATCTCCGAGAAAGGCTATGGGGAATGCTAAACCTGTAACATGAATGGAATCCTACACTCGTGATACAATGCAAATTGAAGTAATGAGAGGCAGAAGTAAAGCAATTCCAGGGGTTTAGTTTACCAATGCAACTCTATAGGCCTAGCTGGCTAATCTAACAGAATTCCCGAGGGCTGGCCGAGAGACAGCATTAGGAATGGGGGATTATACCTCAGGGACGTAGCATCACTCCTTACTCCTTAACAACCTTAGCATCATTTCTTAACAACAAGAGGGATAGCAACTAAAAAAAAAGATTGTTGGCAGAACAAAACCTCGGACTGCAATTGGAGAGGCTGGCTAGATAGAGTCTGGCACTTTTCCTAAGCTAGTACTTCAAATTGAGTTCTCTTTTGACCTCGATTCTTAGCTTTTTTCTGCAAATTTCCTAATAGGAAGAAGTAATGGCAGGCAGAACGAAAGCTATTCCAACCGAAGCAGAAACAGTAGGGGTACGGGAATTCTTTATCTGGTTCTTTTTCTGGGGTGACACTTTCCTTAAAGGACTTAGCCGGAGTAAACCAAGAAGACCCCACCCCTTAGGTAAAGACTCCTTCTTTAGGCGTAGGCAAAGACTTCTTATGCATAGTCCACTACTGCTCCAAAGGCAACTCAAATTGACCGTCTAGATGCCAAGCTAGGAGAGCCAAGATTCTTTACTTGAAGACTGAAGCGCTAACGTCATTTGACAGCTACCGAGGTTTTTCTTCCAAGCATGAACTCCTACTCGTTGATTGAATCAAAGTCTTCACTCCCCGATTCATTTAAGAGGAGGAAAGCCCTTCTTTCTTTTCTCGATGCGAAACCTTAACTTAAAAGAATAAATGGCTAAGCCAATACAGAATCACCAGAAATGAGTGACGAGGGCTCTCTGCGGCTAAGAATAGAAGGTGGTGTACTAGTTCGCTATCTCAGTATTGGAAGAATCCCATGAAATGTTCATCCAAAGAGGGATTTTAGTTAGTGAAGAAAGACCTTCTTTTTCTTGTTACCTCCTACCCGCAGCCATGCACTTAAGAAATCAATATATAGGAGTAGTAGCGCTAATCGAAGCATCAAAGCAGAAGGAGCTTGACACCATTGAATCAAGTGTTGAAAGACTACGTATGAAAAAAGAATCCCCGCCCCGGGAACTGAACGATGTTAGCGCAAGGGGCTGAAATGAAAAGGCAGGTAGCATTCGATAAGCAGGCAGGTTTGGTAAACGGTAAACTAGGTCGATGGCATGCTGAATACTCCTCATCGGTGGTAAACCATGGGGAAGAGCATCACCCAAGCCGAGATCAACAATCGCACGCCCCCATATGTGTCAACTAATCTGCCACTCGGAAGCCAGGTATCATACTAGAATTGAGTGATCGATCCATCACCAATGACATGTAAAATGAATGGCTTTGCTTTGGCTTGCATATATTCTTCCACACAGGAGAACAGCCAGTTGGAGGAGAATAGTCCCATATCGATTTTGATTTGATATATGTACAAAAAGCTGCTATATTTACCGCAGGAAGGCTTCTTTCAAATGGAAAGGAAGAGTATTCAAAGCCAGCTAGAGCAGAGCTAGTTGTTGGAGTTGTTCTCCTTCCTGTTGGCCCTCCATCTGGTAAGCCAAGCAGGAGAATCAAAGTGTAACCATCTCCTGAAAGAGCAGGCAAGATCAATCTTGCAGGAAAGGGGGAGCTTACTAGTGTAAGATGTAATTTATATTCCTAAACCCATCTAAGCCTTCTTGGTAGCTCTGTACGAGTAGTGGCAGTACCCGCTATTGGCCTTCGCTCTATGTTCTTTTCCAGTGCCCGCCCGGGTAATTTTTCGCTATTTCCCTTATCAAGAGTGGCATTTCTTTACCAGAGGATTGGTCACAGTCTAAGTATGTAGGATCTTACTATAAGTATGCAGTACTATCTGATGCAGGTTCCACGGATAAGTGAGTTTGCAATTTTTTTCTCCTGACAGCCAAAACATAGCCCTTTCTTTCTCGCGCTTCCCCTCTAAGCGAGCTAACTCCCGATCTCCCGTTGTAACGATCTCCAGGCCGGGGCAGTCTCAACAGAGGAGGGCTCACGATAAAAGATAGATTTTTCCTTTATCTAATATGATATGCTGCTTTCTTTCAGTGCCAGTTCTCCGCCATTCGATCCAGCAGGCGCAGTAGAAAGAGTAGAAATTCCTGTTATTCACACTGTATCAGTAGTTGATGCTACTTCCATCAAGCGGGGATTTTTTTTTAATCTAGTAGTAGTAGAAGAAAGGTTAATCTATTGGTGAGTGCTAAGTGCTGTCGGTCCAGTGGAAAGTTTTTTATTGGGACTTCTGTTCCATCAAGTTATAGCTAGCTTATAAAGTTAGGCAAGCAAGTTCGCTTTCAAGCTTTGACTTTCCATCAGTCCCATAGCATCTTCATTCTGGTCTATCTGCATCCCTCTCTAAGGGCTCTCAGCCACATGGATAGTTCAATGTGCTCATCAGCGCCTGACCCTGAGATGTGGATCATCCAAGGCACATTAGCATGGCGTACTTCTCCTGTTCGAACCGGGGTTTGAAACCAAACTTCGCCTCAGGAGGATAGATGGGGCGATTCTGGTGAGATCCAATGTAGATCCAACTTTCTATTCACTCGTGGGATCTGGGCGGTCCGGGGGGGACCACCACGGCTCCTCTCTTCTCGATAATCCAT